TTTTGGTGTCATAAGTTCTGAGTTGAACAAAACTAACAAAGTTCACGTAGAAGTAAAAGTTTATTAATAATCAGAACTATAAAGAATATTTGTTTTTAAGACTCAGAAAGAGTCATATTGCAGACCCTAATATGACCCCTAACTTGGGCTCATATTGGCGTGCCCTTCTAAGAAGGGAAATATGTACTTTTCTGACTTTTTTTTTTGACCTCATAATGAGGGTTACGACTCAGAATTCTGAGACTTTTCTGACTCTAAAATGAGTGCGAATGTTTATAGGGTACAAATATCTTAGGTTTTCAAAGACACAAAAGCTCTGATGCAGTACTCCATAAACAGGTTTTTACACGAACTTGCAGGAAGTTACAGGAAAAATGATCCCGTAATCCAAAATCCTGTAAATGAGAGCGATTTTTTGAGAGTTGTGTAGAGAATGAAGTTGCAAGATTTTACCCGAACTTTTTCTTCTGGTAAAATTTTGAAAAGTGTCAACCGATCACTCACTGGTTGACGTTTTTACAGGAAAAACGCTTTTTTGTTCCCATCTTTTTTGTTGATACTTACTTTTTACTCTCACTTCAGAGAGTAATTTTGCTGTTTGACATTTTTACAGGATTTTACATGAAAAGTAGGTGGATCAGAGCTAAAGTGTGAAAAATATTTATTTTCGAGTGTGCGTATTATGAAGGTAATGTTTATTTTCATATTAATTAAAAATTACTGAACCGCCATGCAAGCTTTGCAGAGTTTGTGGGGAAGATTCTTTTGATATGCCCCGTCGCTGCACGAGGCTTTTATACATTTTCAATAGTGTGACCAATTTGAAGTATTTTATTTTATTTTTCACAAGTAGACACATGGCACTAATCCTTGATAGGCGTATGTATTGTCTACATATATATGTATGTATGTATAAATAAGTTTGTAAATAAGTACATATGTATATGGTTTCCATGCTGTTATGTGCGCACTTAATGATAGTTAAATTCTTCTTAGCTATCTCCACAAATCGAGTTGCATCCACTTGCTGTTAGAAATAGTGGAACAAGAAAAACGAGTAACTAACTAGTGAATACCTGAAATGACCAAAGAACGGCAATAAGTCAATGTTGCGGTCAGCCTAATGGTCAACAGCGTATGGCCGTCAGTCAAGTGTGCATGCAACATGTGCGCTGATACATATGTATATATATATATATATATATGTATGCTTGTTTGCAACAAACCAAGTACTAATAGCCAGAAGATACAAAACCAGGTTGGATTAGCAAAAAAGAAAAAAAAGATAGTGAAAGAGCGACCTACGGCGAGTGCCGCAAACTCAAACAATTCAAGAAAATAGACAGCTACATATTTGTGGCATGCACTGAATTAATTTTTCACTCAGAAGTTAATAATATTGCAATCTACCACAATTTCAGATTGCTTTTAGCTGGCTCCGAGATAACAAACAGACCGTACGGCTAAACGTTCATGATCTGTTCACCACATATAACACGGTACCGTTACCGTTAAATTAATATTGGAGTAAGAACAATACTGCATCAACAAGAAAAAAAATAAAACGCAATTAACTCAAACCAAGTGGCTATTTAGTGGAAATAAGAATCTCGATCCCATTTGCACAAACAACGAACAATTCTAAGCAAATCAGTGCCGCAATAGCCACGATTACCACCAGTAGCTGTATAATTTGGCACACATACATATATGTATGTATGTATGGATATATGGGTGATACCGAAGATTTTATTTTTATCGAAAACGGCTTTTAAATATTTAAGTTTACATACAAGTGAATCCGAAGTAGAGAAGGCTTTATGTCCTTAATACCTTTTTACAGTATATGGTCATTGAAATTTCCGAGCTTAACTTCCTAATCTGAAATTTAAAAAACGAGAGTAGCAATAGAAAATTCCTGCCAAGTTAATCCGTAATTATAAAATAATCTCAGATTAAAGCGATAACATTTCGGAGTTGAACTTAATTTTATCGTTTATCTTTGCGAAGAGGATAAATGTGAAATTTGAAAGTAAAAAAAAAAACTTGACGCTTCTAAGGGAAAGACATTTCTAAATGTATTTTTCACAAAATATTAAGTTAAAATATTTTTAAGTTGTTAAAATTACCAGGAAAAAACTGATCACAGTCGAACAAGGACGATATTTAACAAGCACAACAAATTTGAAGGCTCATAAACGTAAACGAATTGATTAACGAACGAGCTTTGATTGAGATTATATTTAAAAGTAAACGTGATTTTACATTCTAAACTCGAACTTTTGCCTAAAAAATATGCACTGAATATGTACATACGACCAAAGAACAGAGAATTATATTCGACTTTGGTACAACTGTCAAAGGAAATTCCCATAAACATTTACAGTCAAAACCCGATACACCGGGTGGCTTCAGAATATGGGAATTTATTAACAAAACAAAATTTTAGTAAAAGAAATCATATATTTGATTGATGAAAGACTTAAAAATTACATATTAAAGTTAATTGAAAGAAAAAAATTTTATTCTTCATTTTTCGTCTGATCACTTGGAGACCACCACATATACTGAAACATAGATATGCACACTCTCATTCGTTTCATTCCCGTTACAAATTAACTAAACCATGAGCAAAGCATCTCCTAACCCTGAAGAGAGTAGGCGCTAAGCTACTGGTAGGTATTCTAACGGGACATTGTCTGCTGGTTTCGCACGCCTTTCAACTGGCTCTGTCAAAGAGGGATTAGATATGTATGAGATGCAGAATGAAAGAGAAGGGAGTGGAGCACAGCCTCTGCGAGTGTCCTGCTCTTAGCAGACTACGGATTAGCCTCCTGGGAGCAGGCTTTCTGCCTAATCTAGCGTCTGTTGTCAAGATGTTGTGGCTAGTCAGCCTACCTAACCTAACCTGTGAACAAAGCAGGCGATTCAGATTCAATGTTGCCAACTCCAAAGATCCGAATATCCCATTCTCCGCCATTTTAATATTGGAAAAACCCATTTACGAATATTAAATACTAAAATTTTTTAATAATAAAATATATACAGAGTATTTATAGCAGATAGCTCCAGTTTAGCGGTTTTCACTTTTCTTGCGTTGCACAAGGCGTTATGGTTGTCCCTACGACCATAAACACAGCCGTTGCGCGACTATCTCTGATACAAAACTTTTTTTATTAAGTTAACAAAGCATTTCTGTGTATTGAAGGTGACAATGCAAAAAATAATTATCCAAAAAGAAGGTAAAATTCATGGAATTTAAAACACAGTGGTTAGATATTATAAATAAAACTACATTTATGAAAAAGTTGCCTGCGTTCAATGAAATGATTACTAGACTAGATTAGTAAAATGAACACAACTATTAAAATTACCTTTTTTAAACACCCATCACAACAAACTATGTTTTTTTTACTTACAATAATATTAGCTTCCCATTGTTTAAATAATGTAATTTTAATAGTTGTGTTCATTTTACTTACGAATAGTGACTCGTCCCACCCGTCGGGTGGCGTCATTGTCTCACCCGTCACTCTTGGGAAAATGTAAATTGTCTGTGTAAATTATATAATTAAGTTTTATACTTTCTTAGTTTCGTGTTAAACTGGTATCTGATTTCAGATGTTAACAGTTTCAAACTTGTCAAATTGAGCCTTAAAGAGAAATCACTTGAAGTTTGAAGAAAAACAAGTTTAAATATCCCGCCCGTCACGTTGGAATGATCCATATATGTTTGAATAAAGACATGTAACAATGAGTGAACAGCAAATAAAGTAAAAAAAGACAATTCCACCACAAAATTTTATTTAGCTAAAAAATCCCATAATGCGAAATCCCCAAATTATGGGCGCAATCCCACGAGTTGGCAACACAGTTCGGTTTATAAAATAATTGCAATTCTGATAATTGATTACTATGACCATCGAGTTTCGACGGTATCTACATATGTACATATACAGATACAAATTCAAATACTCATTAATAAGTCACAATAAACATTTGGATTTGAGATCAATTGGAGATCCAATACAATTTCCGAGATGTAATGTTGATTTTCAAGTTTACCTCAATTGGAGAACCAATCGATTCTCTAACAAAAGGGTACATTTTTTGTGTACAAAATTATCGGATTTCTGCACTTGAGAAAAGCTCGGATATTAATTTTAATTCAAACTTTATTCAACTTTTAGTCAAACCTTGGGAAGAATGTTGTCCATCCAGTTGAGACACAAGTAGGGATGTTGCGATATCATAAAACTATCGATACCAGTATCAAATGATGTATCAGAAGCTAAGTATCAATACAATATTAGTATTTGTATCGGAAATAAAATATCGATATATATATTTTTTTTATGCAAAAAATGTTTGACATAAAATGAATATTAATAAGAAATCATTAACAACTGCAGTGCGTAATAAACAAAATATGAAAAATGGCTCGATTTTATCAGAAAATCAGTAAATCATTTTTTAAATTTGTTCTATGCACGAAAATTTCAGATTTTTCAAACAAGCGTTGCACCTAACTGAGCTTTTATCAAACTTAGTAACGTGATTCTATACTTTACTTTTCGGCGTAAAAGCAGAAAAACAGAAATAAAAGCAAATCAATGTCGCTACGCTGCATATTTACTGTACCATATAAACGGTTTGAATACATTACGATGCCATACAAGTAACGATACTAGTATCAAATGGGCATAAGAAATAAAATATCGCGCAAACGATAACATAGAGTCACTAATGAGGAAATATTTATACTTAAATAGAATTCTAGGGACAATATAGCTTGTATGATGTTATTATGGTTAGGTTAGGTTAGGTTATTCTGGCTGGCTGACCGCCCCACATAGACCAATAGGTCCCTGGTGATCCCAGATAGAGATGGAGGTTCAGTTAATCATATTCGAAGTATCCATCATTTAGAATGTCAACGCTTTTTGAGAATTTTAGCAGCGCCTAAAGCTTAAGTGTTGTTACGTCTTCAGGATTATTAAACTCTGGAGCTCCGATATTATAATATATTAAGCGATATCGAAAGAAAATACCCATATGGGTATCAATAGTATCGTCAACTTAGTATCGAATACCGATTTACCCAGTATCGAAACCAAGAATATATCAGTAGTATCGCAACATCCCTAGACACAAGAATTTCTCAAGCATTGGAAAAATGTTTGCTTTGTGTATATTGGGATACTATGTATGCACCTATGTGCTATTACGTATTTAATGCTACCTTCTGCAATTCTACTTGCTATACGAACATTTTTCAGTCGAATTTACCTGAAAACATAAATATGTAGATATATGTACATATATACATAAAAATGTATGTATATCCGCATACATAAAAATGTATGTATGTGCGTAAAAATGAAAAATGCAAATAAATTTAGCCCAGGTAGGTGCTGCCGGTGCAGCTCTAAGTAGCGGTATTTGACCACCTTTCTACAACTTGTCTTACTCATTGCGCGGAGTGTTTCTTTGTGTAACTATTTTGTTCATTGCTTCATTTGATTTTCCGGTTCTGGTTGCGGTAGTTTCTACTTCTCCTTATAATTACCCACAGCCAATTGAAACGAGTTGTCGTTTTTGGTGACACAATTCACAGGTATGCGACTTGTTGGACATGTAAACACAAGCGAGTATGAGAGACGCATCAGCACGTTTGTCGATCGCCTCAAGCTGATTGTGAGTAGCTTGTGAATTATGAAAGTTGAATGTTTGTTGACAAAAGCTGCATTTTTTTGTAAACGAGCGATAAAATAATGCTCAACTCGGGTACAATTTCCTTTTAGCTACTTAGGCAACCCTGTTGGTATCTGGCAAAAAACATGTGATTAGTTTAACGGGATTTGGATACAAAAACCAACAGAAAGGAGTAGTTATGTGAGGTATTTGCGTAATATACGTATATACATACTTATTTAAAATATAAATCATATATATATGAAAACAAAAATTTCCCTCTCCACTTGCCCATTAACAATTCACAGTAGAGCAGTTTTTTTTTCATTCACCAACACTACTCTTCCGGTCGCGTATTCTTCAACCGACCTGGCTGAGCTCAGATAAGTAGCCGAGTTTGCGTTGTTCGTATTTGCAGGTATTTCGTCATTTAAGCGAGTGTTCGTTTGTAGCTCGGTTGCAAAAGAATGCACCTAAAGCTTATGAATGAAATGCATACACAACTACATACATATGTATGTGCGTACATGCATTTTTATATATTTTTGTGGTGAAATACGAGTAGTTATCAAAGACGAGTTAAACCTAATCAGTAGTTGTTATCAAACAGAAAAAAGACAAGGATACAAAAACACTTTTTTGCCGAAGATCGTCAATATTAGCCCTCATCGATTCGCTAAGTTTAAGTTCCGGACTATTAACGAAAAAATTTGCATGTGAAAGCAACAACAAAGCTAACTAGCAGGCATGGACGATAGCGAGTTTGGTTGTACCTCATTAAGTTCGTTCGTTTCGCCACTCGCTTACTGTTGGCGAATCGATGACGGCTATTACAAAGAACAAAACGATAATATTTACTTATATTTAATTGTATGCAAATATGTAGTTCCTCTGGAAATGTTCGCGCGGATATTTTTTTATTTAAAAAACTCTCTTTTCCGACATTTGTTACGAAAATCACGTCAAAAATATTGATATTTAAAATCAATTTTTGTTTTTTGCTAGCTGGCCATTTCAAGCGAATATCATGCAATTTTAATTCATGGCTAATTATGTGGATGTATTTGCGATCGTGTGTCGTGCGTTTTGATGTACTTATTAAATTTTCTTTTAAAAATGTGGCTTGCTGACACGATATCATATCACACGAATAAGTAGAAAGTTAATGGTTTACAATGCACGCACTTAGGTATGTATGTGTGTATGAGTGTTTATACCCTGCAAAAAATGGGACTAATCCGGGATGACTCCGGGAGCAATCGCAGAGGAGCATGCGACTAATACCACTTTTGATCTCTTTATATGGAATGAACTGATCGCTTTTGTTCGAGCATGTCCTATGAAGAGACTAATTGTTCACCTTTATACCCGAACGGGTATAAAAGCGAGTAGTCACTTTCAAAAAATAAAAATAAAAATTTGCGCCAGCTGAGATTCGAACCGGGGTGCTCAGTTTTGTTAGGCGAATACTCTCTCTGTGTGCCAACGCCGCACATGAAATTTTATTGACTAAGTGCGTACATATCATTAAATCTTAAATAGTACCCGTTAGAGATGAGTTGGGGACTAATGGATCTCCAATTATACCCATAAGGGATGAGCCGAGACTAATTGACCTCCATTAGTACCCGTATGAGACTAGTTGGGACTAATTAATGCCCAATTGTACCCGATTGAGAGTAATCTCGGAATACTCTCTTTAGAGATTAGTCGCACAATTTTTTGCAGGGTATATAACTATATACCTACATATTTACATACATATGTATGTTCGCACAAGCGCAAGTATCTAATAATGTAGTTAGGCTAAAAAGTAATAAATGATTTCTGTTTGAGTAATTCAGCGCGAAAAGCAAAAATTGTCAAGAAGTATGAAACTAAAGCAAAACGATCAATTTCATCACAATGTACATAAATGCTTAAGTGGGTATAATTTCGCCATTTTACTGTACTTTTGCTTTTCATAAACGACTAATATTCTCATTGCTGTTGCTAATCGTATCTGCACTGAAAAGTTTCGAATACTTTCCGCTTCAATATTCATGGTAATTTATAGTTTGCGTTTCTCTGCGAAGTCGACACAATGAAAGTGAAATTGATGATTTCTTCCAGCTGAATCACGCCATCATTTTGGTTACTTATGTATCTAAAATGCATAGCGATTGTATCTTCTTTTCTGCTTCTTTAGTTTCCCAATACAACATGTTTAAGTGAAACACACTCGTTTTTAATTAAGTGGATTTTTATTACTGTCTTTTTCGTTAATTCTCTGTTTTTTTTTTAGCGGAGTCCACACGAAGATGAAATCGAAACGACACGTTAACTTCTTTTTTTCACTTTCATCGCGTCTACAGAGCAGATCAGCGGCGGCATTGAAAGCCGCAATACGAGAGGAGGGCAGCGAAAAAGCAAAAGTTTGTTGACCGTAAAAGTAAAGAGCCGTTTTTGTCGCTTTTGTTTAATGAATTTAGCGTAGCTGTTCAGGCACAAAAAGAGAAAGCCCGCGCAGATTTAAAGGTATATGCAGTGACTTAACTTATAGCGGAGAATAAATATATTGCAGAGCTGAAAAATAAAATGTAAAACATTTTTCCATATTGGATAGGAAAAATTAAATGCTCGCATAATTGCCCAGCAAGGTGTTATCCAACTATTATGGAGTCACACTAAGTATTTAGCGGTCGCACTCATAAATGTGTTCTAGCCAAAACGATTGGCCGTCCTTTTTGCGTTTGCGCCTTAAGTCTTTTGATTGCGGCGAGTTTTCGAGAGTTCGATTTGTACAAGTCTTTAGATTTACACGCTCAATCGCAATAGTGCAGCGGCCAATGAACTTAATTGTGTCGCATTTGCACCTACAATAAAGTAACGGTACCAAATTTCAGTGTAGGCTCGCATTTATAATATTTGTGAGTGTAACACTTTCGTAAACTGCAGCAATTTCATAAGCCCTAAAATTGACAGGCAGCGGCGTGTCGCGGCGGTCGGTAGACTTTTTTGTTGTCGCATGTACTTACTACATAGTGTCGATGCAATGAACGCCTTAGCTTTAGCTTAGTTTCACTTGCGACGCACGTTTCAGTTCATTTGAATTCGGATATTTAGTTTTTAGTTGGCAAATGAATATTACGAAACGGTTTGAAAATTAATGAAGTTAAAATGATGCAATCAATACCTGAAAGCGTTTGCTATACACATACATATGTATATGTATGTATGTATGTATGCATATATATATAGCCGTAGTCAAAGTAGTAATAAACGAAGAGAAAAGTAAAATTTAGTGATTGTAAAATTTTAAACAATTTTTAGGGAAAAACTAAGCTTTTCTAATATTTTGTGAAAATTAACTGCTCGTAACAAGCTTGTCCTCTTTACTTCTCTTAATGGCTGCTTTTGTTTAATTGTAGATAGTGAAATTGCATTGTGGTGGCTTCATTTTTTTTTTTTTGTTTGGGAACTCACTTTTTCTCATAAAATAATTGTTTACTCAGCGTCCAGTTTCTGAAACGAAAGTTGATATGCGCCACAGTCATAATAATTAACGGTGGAAAAAGTTTGCCCAGATACATAATTTTTTTAATTGATGAAGATGTT